AGGAGGAGGAGAGCTCAGGACTGAAATACCCAAATCAAACCTGCCCCTTCCTGATCCTGTTTTTATGAATGAGCCCGCAAAGTAACCATTTTCAGATGGGAAGGGTTTCTCTCTCTCTCTCTCTCTCTCTCTCTCTCTTTCTCTGTCTTTCTTGAGAATTTGGGTTCTGGAGCCAAAGTGTGAGTCTTAGTTTTGCCATTCCTTCTCTGTGTAACTTCAGGCAATTCAATTCACCAATTTTTTCATCTGATAAAAAAAAAAGACAAAACAATTCTACTCACCTCTTGGAGGTGTTGTAAGGGTCAAGGGGGACAATATATGTAGTGCAGTTGCTGGCTACCTATCTTTTGATGTCACTGTTTTCTGCTGTCCACGGGCCCTACCTGGAGAGTAGCTCAGATGCTCTCAAAAAGGGCCCTGGTCCTGTGGCCTTCAATCCTCTCCCACAGATGGAAGTTAACAGCCGGCTGGTCCAGCACCTGTTACCGTTCCTTTCTGGAGGCCGGGTATGGAGCAGGAGTCCTCTGTCCCTGAGGCAGAAGAGATACGACTTGGATGGTTTAGAAGGGGAGCCCCAGGTTTTCTGACCATGGAGCAGCAGAGGTGGCCGCAGCTGTCCTGGATGGAGCTGAAGATGAGTTTCCTCCTCTTGGCAGCAGGACGGCTCATAGGATAGAGAAAACTGTGAATTATGTACCAGGTTATAAAATCTCTTGAAACAGGTCTCCCATGTTCATTCAAGCCATAGTTAGAGTAATTGTTGAGACTCATTAAACACTCCTACAGCTGTGCCCTGAGGGGACATCATGGCTCTCAAGAGTAATCTTTCCCAGAGTTCATCTAGAAGGAAGAAGGGGCAACGGTTTTTTTGAGATAGTATGTCTCCAGGGTCCATGCCCTAGGCTGACCAATTCTAACCTCTTTGTTGGAATATGGACCCCTGTCCTCTGCTGTTCAGGACAAACTTGGAACCATCCGTTGGGATACAAGGACTGTGGTACAACTGAGCTCCTGATCTTTTAGTTCAAGCCTTTCTGGTGTTAAATGTGCCAAGAAGAAGAATTATATTTCACCTTTGTTTATGATTTGTCTTGAGAAGTGTTATGGGCAAGGGACCTATTTACTAGTAAATTTTCTTTTTTCTAGTATTTTGATAACAGGTCTCCAAATGTTTTAGATTTGTAGAGTTGCCAAGGGCCTAGATATTACCTAGCTCGCTTTGTGTATGTATCACTTTATGACAGCCCTGATGGATGCTCGCCGTGCTGTGACTGAGGCCCTCCTCTGTAGAGGACCACGGTAAAGACCGTGAGCGCTGGTTGGGTTTCAGTCCAGGCTCTGCAGCTGACTGGCTGTAACTGAGTTTGGACAGTATGTGCTCACTCATCTTTATAATGGGAATAACAACTGCAGTAGCAACAACAACATCTTCAAAAAGTTGTTCTGAGGATCAAATGGATTAACATATGAAAAGTTCTGAAACCAGAGCCTGGTACATAGTTAGCACTTAGAATAGCAGAAATGTGTAACTATTTTACTACCTCTTTCTTATATATGAACAAAATGACGTTTTAACTCTAAACATTACAAATATTTCCGTGTAAGTGAGTGACTACACGGAAAGACATTTAAAGAAGATTAAAATTTGACCATGCATGGAATGGGCATGAACACTGGGCGGTGGGGGCTTGTCCTGGGGGATGGGAGTGGCTGGGGATGGGTCCATGGGGGAAAAAGAAGACATATGTAATACTTTAAACAAAAATTATTTTTCCATATTCTTAAGACATTTAAAATAAGAGAGGTTCAGACAGATGAAAATGAAATTGATATAGAAACAGTAGACAGAAGTGAATAAGAAACATAAAAATAATTTTAACTGGCTTTTAAGGCAGAATTGACATTTCAGGAAAAAAAAGTTAATAATGTTCAGGGCAGAATTCCGAAACCGTCTTAGTCTATTTGGGCTTATATAAAAAAAAAAATACCACAGACTAGGTAGCTTATGAACAACAGAAATTTATTTTTCATGGTTCTGGAGGCTTGAGAAATCCAGGATCATGGTGCAGGCTTCGTGGTTCCTGTTCCTCTCGGCAGATGCAGGGAGAGACCTCTGTAGGATCTCTCTTATAAGAGCACTATTCTTAATTGTGAGGCCCCACCTCCTAATACCATCACATTGGGCATTAAGATTTGACCATATGAATTGAGATGGGAGGACACAAACATTCAGATCATGTTAATATTATGCTGCTATTATTTAACCGAATTGTAGCATGCCTCTGTGGTCCATTCAGAAAAAAAAGGAGTTAGAGTTGTAGATTCTAATGATCACAGACATTGTGTTGTTGCTACACAATGATGGGCAAGGAAGATTACGTGTCTGAAACTATGTCTAGAGTGGATGTAGCATTTCCTCACTCAATAGCAAAGATTAGCAGGAATCACAGCATACCAACACACACACACACACACACCACCACCACCACCACCAACAACAACAACAACAACAAACAAACAAACGCATCCCACCCACCAAAACAACGCTATTGAGGACTCAGACTCCCCAGGAATGAAACTGTGGGTAACATCAGTAAATGAAGACCAAAGCCAGTTATTTGACACTCTCATCAGAGATCTAAGCATTAGATATGTGGTCATCCCTTTCTTAGCTCCTATGTTGTGGAAATACCACCTTTTCTTTTTGTTACCCAATCGAGAGGGTGTAACTTCTTTCTGCAGTTTACATCTCTGGGTCACTTCAGTTTCTTTCTTTTGCCACCTTTATTCCTTTGCAGGACACAATTATGCATGTAATTTCCTGTGGTAAGTATTCTTGGTTTAAACATGTCTAGTTTAAAAGTCATTTGTCTTTCCAGAATGGATCTTAACTGAAATGCCAGGTATATGATGGATAGCTAATGTCCAGTGAAATTATGTATAATCATTGTCATATTACATTTCCAAGAATAACATTTTCATACATTCATTCTGTTTTCTACCAATATTCATTGGGTGCACTTATTTGACCAAGATTATAAAAAGTAAAGAGATATGTTAAGACAGCTCATGTTAAGTGGCTTTTAACATAGTAGAGATGAGAACATAATAGTACAATCAAAATAACAATTGAATAATGATTTATACCCTTCAGTATGAACTATTGTGACCTCATACCTTATGACAGTGGTGAGGCAGACAATTAGTATCTTAATATGTAGATAGAGATGCTTAGCCTCAGTCTTTTCGCAACTTTACTTTGATAGTGCCATAGCTGAGGCATGAATCCAATATTTTGTGCTGCAACCCTGCCAAGGGACAATAATGTGTACAAAGTGATAAATTCAGTAAGATGTATCATAAATTGTTACAAGATTTCAGAGAATTCCTTTTCCCCACCTTTTCTGTATTCTGTTTCATTGTTCTTTTTTTCTACTTTATCTTTATTGTCAAAAGTATTACAGATGTCCTCCCTTCTGCCCCCGGCCCATTGGCCCCCTTCTCCCCACTCCCGTCCCCTCTCCAGGCCTTTACCCCACTGTTGTCTGTGTCCATCGGTTATGCATATATGCATATAAGGCCTTTGGCTGATCTCTTCCCTCCTCCCCTTCCCTCTGAGAATCCTCAGTCTGTTGCATGCTTCCAAGTCTCTGTGTCTATTTTGTTTGCCAAATTATTTTGTTTATTAAATTCCACATACACGTGAGATCATGTGATACTTGTCTATCTCTGACTGGCTTATTTCACTTAACACAATACTCTCAGGAGAGGAGAATTTCTGACTAGAAAGATCAAAGGCAGTTTCTTAGAGGGAAAGACATTGGAGATGGATTTCCAGGTGCCTCCTAATGGTAACTACAGTCTCCAATACAACCTCACATTGGTTATGTGGAGATTCTCTTGCTGACGAGTTTCCCCAGGGCAGCCTTCATGTCCCGATTTCTCAGACTGTAGATGAAAGGATTTAACATTGGAGTCACTGTCATATACATCACAGTTATCACAGCATCCTTTAGGCTGTAGCTAGTCAGAGGGCGGAAATACATGCCCATGACTGTCCCATAATACAAAGAAACCACTGTGAGGTGGGAACCACAGGTGGAGAAGGCTTTGTTGTGTAATGAAGTGGCCGGCTGATGGCCACAGCACGATCATATGCCATTGCAGCCAGGATATAGCTATCTGTGTTACCCAAAGCAATCATGAAATACATCTGTGTCAGGCATCCCCCAAAGGAGATGGTCTTGGTGCTCAAGAGATGGTTGGCTAGCATCTTCGGGATGGTTACAGAGGAGAAGAAGATGTCGACAAAGGAGAGGTTAGCAAGGAGAAAATACATGGGGTGGTGAAGGCGAATGTCAGAGAAAATGGCCAAGATGATGAGCAGGTTTCCAATCAGTGTGATGGGGTAAATGAGCAAGAAGAGGATGAAGAAGAAATCCTCCTGTTGCTGCTGGCCGCTAACGCCCAGGAGGATGAAATCCCGGGTAGAGGATTGATTACCTTCCCTCATGGCTCTTTTATTAAGAAAATAAGAAAAATCAGAATTATTAGTGAAGTTACTGTTATAATATTTTTTTTACTCACCACCTTTAATTACCTGTGTTTATGCTTGGCTATACTACATCCAGGGGTAACCACCAATTCCTGGGGAAAAATTTCTTCTTCATCAGTTGGACTAATTGTCAGATAGCCATTGACATTTATGCCTAAGAAGTTAGCAATGTGAATCAAAGGGGCCATCCCCCCAATCCCAGCACCATCTCTCAAGCACATTGGATTTAATCGTTTAACAGATACTCAAATTGCACATTGGATGTGCTAGCTTCTTGGTTAGGTCTCATGGGAAAATTATGAACATGTGAAAAGTTTTGTTTTATCCATTTTTTCAACAAAAGTGACATAGTCTTTGCTCTCAGCGGCAAGGCAGCGTTCACACACTAATTTTGCTATGCATCGTAAGAAAAGGACAGCATTTGGGAGTATTTGAAGAAAGCACTTCAGTACAGTGTGTGTCATACAAAGAGGAGCCTGGACAATTAGAAATTGTTCCAGCGAACAATATCGGAGTGATCTCAGAGTCCAGGTGGCTTCAGGTGTCTACACTTGTGTTAAAAGATTTTAAATCAGAAAGACAACTGGGAAAAGGCCTAGCTAAGCAAGCTAGTAAATTCCATTATCAAAATGTATTTTTGCTATCTCTTTGATAAGTTTTATCTCTTTTCCAACCCCTTAAATATATATAAGCAAAATGTTTTTCTCTTTGGTTTTTCCTTCCTTTGCTTTGTTATTTATTTATTTACTTATTTACTTATTTATTTTTAATTTACTTTTTTGATGACTCATGCAACCCCATAGTGGCTTCAGCTGCTCCTTCAGCTACTCTTAGGAACAGGTTTGACCTGTAGACTTGATATCCCTTTCCTATATTTCCACATTTCTCATGCTGTGAATACGTCAAACCAAACCCCATCCTCTGCACATCCAATCTAATTGGTTTTGCAAGCTTTTTTAAGGAGGAAAACCACATCTTGTTTACTTGTACTCCTCCGGAGAGATTATTGTGGAATATTGTTCATTTTATGCACCAATAAGTTTGCACTTGATATTTCTTCAGTCGCACCTAGGTTTATTTCACAGGCTCCCCAGATGTGAAGTACTCACAGGCACAGTCATGCAGTTATCCCTCACTTCTACACCTGATCTTGGAAACTCTTCATTTAAAATAATTCTTACATGGTTCAAATTTTGTACCTATTGTTTCAGTGCTTTAACTTAGACCATCATAATTTTCTACTTAAAAATATTGTACTAATACCCTAGCTGGTTTGACTCAGTGGGTAGAATGTTGGCCTGTGGACCAAAAGGTCCCAGGTTCTATTCTGGTCAAGGCCACATACCGTAGTTACAGGCTCCTCCCTGGCCCGGGCTCTGGTCCGGGCTCATGCAAGAGTCAATCAAGCGATGTGTTTCTCTCACATCGATGTTTCTCTCTGTCTTTCCCTCTCTCTCCCACTCTCCCTAAAAATCAATGGGAAAATATCCTTGGGTGAGGATTAACAAAAACAAACAAACAACACAAATACGTATATTGTAATGTTCCCTTCTCTGCTTGGTTATAGATTCCTTCCTCTTTTGCGTCTCTGGCACTTGTGACCATCGTACTGTGGCAGAGACTATTAGCTGCTCATCCAGGTCTAGGTTGTGCACTTCTTGGTCACTCTACTAGAGTTTGCTTCCCAGCTTCCCTTGCATTGAAGTGTAGACTTGTGACTGAGTTCTAGCCAATTCATCCATGTGCTCCCATTCTGGACTTCCTCCAAATTCTCTTTCCTCTTGGGCCAGTTGCTTACAAATGGCCAGAGGCTGAATAGGATGGTGGCGTCACATGGTGGAAAGAGTCTGTGTCTCTAGTTTTCCACATCCAGCAGAGCCACCATCCACCAAGAAGACACCCACTGGGACTGTAACATAGGAGATAAATACATTGTGCTCCATTTAAACTATTACATATTTCATGACCAACTTGTTCCTGTGGTCCAGGATATCCTAAGTAATTCACTGACTTTTCTAAAGAACCTCTACTCAATTATTAATGAAATATAAAATTAACTAAATCACCAATTCTATTGTATGCATGTAAATTATCTGCTCGGGTGGGTTGGTGGGAAGATGCCAACTGATTCTCCAAATGTGATGTGCTTTCTCATGTCTGCACCTGAAGGAATTCCGTTTTCTCTCTTGAAATGCCCTCTCCTAGCTCCACACAGAATCACAATACGTCAGAGTTAGAAGGGTTTAGTAGGTTGGAGGGCTGAGGCTATGACTAGGTGAGAAGGTATTGAAGCGTATAAGATTTTGGAGGAGTGCTCTCAGTAATATGGCAGTTTAAGCTGCTGTTGAAACATGCCTTGTTTGTATTAGAGAAATTCTAGATAACACACAATTGGTAAAAACAAACAAACAAACAAAACAAAACCCTGTGGCCAAGCTTTAAAAAAAGAAAAAAAGAATACCTAGGCATGAGAAACAAAAGGAAAACCGGAGCAAAGGTTGTAAGGAACAATGTTGCTTGGGCTGCCCTAATGGCATTTCCAACCAGGAATTAAGCTCCCAGGGCCAGAGTCTAGGGCAGTGATGGCTAAGACACGCATATCAGAGGTGACACGCGAACTCATTTTTTTGGTTGATTTTTCTTTGTTAAATGGCATTTAAATATATAAAATAAATATCAAAAATATAAGTCTTTGTTTTACTATGGTTGCAAATATCAAAAAATTTCTATATGTGACATGGCACCAGAGTTAAGTTAGGGTTTTTCAAAATGCTGACACGCTGAGCTCAAAAGGTTCACCATCACTGGTCTAGGGTATTAGTGCCTCTTTGGTACAGGAAATGTAGCTACAAACCCATAGGAAGTAGAAGCGTAACTTGAGCTCATCGCTTACAACACGTGAACTGTGACCTATTTGGGAAAAGAGCACAAATAGGCCAGGTATGGAGCAGGAGTCATATATATATATATATTGCCGTGTAGCAATTGAAAAGGAAAGAGCAAAATAGAGCAAATTCAAAGAAATCATGATTGTTTACAATGAAAATTTAAGGCAATCTATAGGTAAGCTAATAGGTTTCAGGGAGTTTGTTGGATGTAAATCAATAATAAAAGCAATACACCTCTATTGTTAAGTAACAATAAATTAGAAATTATAATTTTAAAAATTCCCCATTCACAACAGCAAGAGAAATTTTAATAATTCTACCAAAAGAACTTCAAGACTGGCAATATAAATATACAACCTTTTGTTTAATATAAATAAGCATAGGTATTTGGGCATACAGTATACGTTAAATGAGTGGTCAGTAAAACACTATTTTAAAAGATAATCTGGTGCAAGGACAACCACATGTAACAAAACGATAAAGAACTGAAAGTGTAAGAAAGAACAGCACTGGAAAAGAAGTGGTTGGTATGATCAATGCGGAGACTGAACAGGCACCGGAGCAGAGAGTTTTCTGAGCACAGGGAGTGAGGATAGAGAGCCTCAGTGCAGGATGTCAAGGGTCACAGTGTCATTCCAGGGAGGAAGGATTTCTGCAGAAACCCCGGAGAATGGGGTAAAGAACCACAGGCCCCAGGGGGAGAGCCAGGAGATGCATCAGCGTGAATGCTAGAGGCAGAGGCAGAGCACCTGGCGAGTGTGCTGTGCGATAGCCCTCACTGAGTGTGCCGATGCTGAGGGCAGTTTGGAAGGGTCAGAAGAGCCAAGTGCATTTCCTTGTCATCTGGGGCAGCAAACAAGCCAGAGGGGAACCACTGAGCCCTGAGACTCCCCGATAGTAGAGCTTATTCATCAGTGCTTTGACAATGAAATAACATAATTTCTGGAAGAGGACTATTAGCACGCACCCTTGACTGTGGGAGCGGGGAGCGGAGGTGGGGGGCGGGGGGTTGTTGTGGCTCCTCTCTAAGATAATGCACTTATGTGCGCGTGCGGTGCACATCTATCCCCCACCCACCCACACACACAATTACTTCCGGTGGTGGAGAGAGATGACCTTCCTCATCCTATTTTCTTAGACAACTCCCAAGGAGGAGCATTTTCAGGAGGGGAGAATTCATATTCTCTCTCTCCCTCCCTTCCTTCCTTTCTCACTCTCTCCTTCCTTTTATCCACCCCACTGTGAGAACATGGGTTCTGGAGCTAGGATTTCAGATTTGAGTCCTAATTTTGCAACTATCACTCTATGTGACTTTAGGCAATTCAGTTCATCATTTTTCATCTGATAAATATGACAAAATAATTCTACTCACCTCTTAAGGGTTTGTGAGGTTAAAGGAGATAATGTACAGAGTGCACTTACTGGCTATCCCTTGATGTCACTGTCATAGAAACTCCATTCTCCGATGTCCACAGCCTCTACCTGGGAGCCCCTTAGATGCTGTAAAAAAGCATCTTGGTCCTGCAGCCTTTACTTCTCCTCCACAAATGGGGAGTTTACAGCCAGCTGCCTACACCTGTTAGCATTCCTCTTTGGTAGCAGGCATGCTGGAGAAAGTTCTGGTAGCAGGCTTGGGGCTTGGGTCCTTTGATCCTGTGGCAAAGGAGATAAGACTAGGACGGTTTGGAAAGAGGAGCCCCAAGTTTCCCAATCCCACCTTAGAGTGGAGCAGCGGATAGGCTGTCCTGGATAGAGCCTGACAGTATGGATTCCAGTTTCCTCCTTAAGGAACGGAGGTGGTCATTGCATAGAGGAAATTTGGAATTATTCACCAGGTTATAAAGCCTCGTGAAACATGACTCCCACAGGTCTTTATTCTGGCCACAGTTAGCGTAATTGTTGAAGCTCATTATGTACTTCTATAGCTGTCCCCTGAGGGCACACAGTGCTTCTCAAGAGTAATAGTTTCCGGAGTTATTTTCTAGAAGGAAGAATAGGCAAGAGAACTAAGGTGTGTGTCTCCAGGGTTCAAGCTCTGGGCTGACTTATTCAAGCCTTTTTGTTGGCATG